GCCTGGACCCCGTGATCCCCCGACCCCCTGCGGCCCGGGCCTCTCCCTTTTGCCGATTTTGCAGCCGTCGAGTCTGACCCATGACTCGCGCCGTCCAGCAGCGGTGGAGACGGGGCGACCCCGTTGGCCGGGGACGGAGGAGGCCGGCGCGGCTGGGGCACCTTGGCGGGGCAGGAGGACGGCGCCCAGGGGCGGCCGGACCGGGAGGCCGAAGCGAGAGGCCGGGACGCGGGCGGTGTGCGCGGGGCGCGGCTCCGGTTAGACTCGCGCAGGGACCGTGGAGGAGGCCCGGTGTCACCGGCCCGGGAGGCCACGCGGCGCAGGGCGGCAGGAGGGCGGGCACGAGGTTTTGCAGGGACGCGGGGAACGCAGCACAGCTCGGCCTGGCCCCACCCGGCTGGGGGAGGCCGCGCAGCCGAGGCCGGTGCGGGAGAGCCCGGGAGAAGCCGGGTTGGGGGTTGGGTCTGAGCTGCCCGCAGCCTGAGACCTGAGACTGGATTCCAAAACGATCGACAGCAGGAGGGCGCCGATTCCCCACGGTGGTGTCCACACGGGAAATTGGCCGGGCGCGCGCGCTTGTGCGTGTGTGCGTGTGTGTTTACGCGCACACGCGCTCGTGTGCCAGTCCTGGGGCTTGAACTCAGAGCCCGGGCGTTGCCCCTTAGATTTTCCCATCAAGGCTGGCGCTCTACCACTTGAGCCACTGCTCCACTTCTGGCTTTTTGGCGGTTAATCGGAGATAAGAGTCTCATGGACTTTCCTGCCCGGGCTGGCTTCCAACAGCGATCCTCAGATCTCAGCCTCCTAAGTAGCTAGGATGACAGGCGTGAGCCACCTGCACCCTGTCCAGCTCATTTCTTGTTCATCGTTGTCTAACTTGGTTGGAGTTTCTGTAGCTTGCCTGCAGGGCCATCTAACACAAACCCAGTCATTTCCTTCGCCAGGTTTCAGTAGCAGGCCTCATTGCCTCCAGATTTTCCGAAGATGATGTGTTTGTTTTTTTTTCCACGTTGCCTCCGTGCATTGTCCCCACACGGCTGTGGCGAGAGGCTGCAGGTGACAGGAAAACAGCTTACCGTGGAGACCCTTCCCTGGAGTAGAGTGCAAGGTCTCGGGGCTGTCTCCTCAGTTAGCTGACCACCTCATGATTGTAGCATGGTTGCCACAGCTCCAAAATCACATCTTCATTTGCTGAAGCCAAAAGCAGATCATAGGCTGCCAAGTGTGGGTGGCCAGGGAGTGCTGTACCATGCACCTGTTTCCATGTGCTTTGTTTTGGTTTTCATGGGGGAGAAAAGTATTTCCCAGAAGTTCCTCCAAGCTTCTCCCCTTATGCATCACTGCCTAGGATTGGGCCTAGCTAATGTCCTTTAGCTGCAAGGAGGTCAGAAGAGTATTTATCCGGTCTCCAGCCTCTCTTATGATGGTCTGACCTATAAATTAGAATTAAGTTTAATTGTACAGAACAACAACAACAAAGAACAACAGGTGACAGGAGAGAAACAAATTCCTCAACAAATTCCTTGCATGGCAGATACGATTGGGGCTTGACGTCCTATTTGTATGACACCATTAGAGGAGGACCAAGCCCTTTTAAATCTCTTCTGCGCCCAGGGTGTGTTCCTGGCCCTCAAGTCCCGGGCCAGCGCCTCTCTTTTCTAGGCTTCCTGAATGTTCCTCTGGGCATGTCTACAGAGATGTGGCGCCCAAGAACTTACTCTTAGCGTTCATGGCAAAGGAAGCTGGGAAAGGCAGTTTATTTCAGGGGGGTTGTGTGTCCAAATAAAATTGTCAGGATTCTGATGTCCATGGAAGTCTTGTGTGTTGAGTGTTTGGGGGGTGATGACCTATGAAGAACCCCCTCTGGAGAGGAAGGAGGGGACTCAGGCGGGACGGCAGGCAGCTGCAGCAAGGCTCGGTTTGGGCTGGATCCCAAAGGTGCTTGGTGGACAGACCTGACCCCTGTGAGTCCTCCCTCTCCAGGGGGCACCCAGACTTCCACACTTGCGGTCATGGGTTCAGGACCACGCTGGGTGCTGTGAGGCAGGTGCAGGCTGGTCCTGTGGAGGAGGTATGCATGCAGGAAACTCAGATCAGAAGCAGAAGTGGTGAGAGGGGTCAGGGATCCAGGGTGACGGCACGCAGTATATGTTGTTACATATATCATATATATATTACTAATATAATATAGAATATATTATGTGATGTATATTTTATAATATATGTTATATGACATAAAGGCCACAAAGCATAATCCTATCACATGCAATTCATAATATATGAATTATATATTCTATATTGCTATGATATCTAATGACCTTTGAAGGGAGGACTGGGATCAAATCCAGGGTCTTGCAATGCTAAGCATGTGCTGTATCAAGTGACGTCTCTCAGTCCTAAACTATAATCACCTCTGGCCATATGAAAAGTATTTAAGAGAACGAGAAAGCAAAGTGGTTCTTAGTATCAGGTTAGAACCGCATTCGCCGGACCCAGCATTTCCACCGTTAGAGTTTCCAGCAGTTATAAGCAGCCCTTTCTGACCTGGCACGTTTGTCTTCGCAGCCTAGTGAGGTGGCTTTCACACATTCCAGGAGGAAGCAGCAGCCCTGGCCTCCGGGTACTCCGAGTCACAGATGGGCTGAGTGAGTGGAAAGCGGTGACTTCAGTAGATGATGAAAGGCAGCAGTTTTCCTGAATTCAGCTCCTTCGGTGGTCTCCATGCTGGTGGTTAGCCAGGCCCCATTCGGTGGTCTCCATGCTGGTGGTTAGCCAGGCCCCATTCGGTGGTCTCCATGCTG